CCCACATACAGACCGGTTCCCGCTCACTGGCTGAGCGAGGCACAGGAGCAACACCGAGGGTTGCGATCCCGTTGCCGGACAGGGAAAAAAGACAAAAGCCAAAAAAAAAAAAAAAAGAACAAGGCTCTCACTGGTGAAACACCCACCTCCAGTCTAGCTTGCTGCCAGTGCCTACCAGGAGTCGTGGCCCAGCATCATGCATGCCCTGCCAAGAGCGATGCTCGAGCTCCTGGGAGCGCCCCCACCAATGGGCTGAGCTCAGGCACCTGCCAGACTCACCTTCACACAGGAGTAGATGACGGACACAAACACCACCAAGGTCAGCAGCAGGAAGCAGGCCAGGTAGAAACTCAGCATGAACACGGAGCTGGAGAAGGAGATGGGGTGAGTAGAAGCCACATCCAGGTGGAGGGCAGCAGCTGTCCTGGGCTCACCCAGCAGGAGGCTGCAGGCCCCAGTGCCAGTACTTATAGCTCCACAGGGTCTGGGGCTCTGAAAGCCCCTGAGAAGGAACCTGAGGTTGCTCTATGTCTCCAAAACTCACTGCCCATCTTTTCCACTGACTCAGTGAGAAGGGCTCGCACAGCCTTGCTGGTCCATCCAGCAGCCCTCCCCGTAACAGCCTGGCTCCTCCCCTACCCATAGCCTGCACCTTCCTGCAGTAAACAGCAGCTCATGCGGAGCCGAACAGAGAACCGGGTGACAACTGATCAATATTTTGCCTAATTCTTAGCTACCCGCAGACTTGCTTCACTTAGCTCGGAAGAACGCAGCTAAAAATCCAGCTGGTTATTCCCTCCGAGTCACTGCTCATGGGCTTGACAAATAACTGCAAAGGCTGAACATTGATTTGACAAATGGCCTTCATTTATAGAAATGCATCTGTCAGCAGCCCAGCCAGCCAGACTTTGAGAAACAGGGATGATGTGTCTCTTCAGAAGGCAGAGACCCTAAACCCTGTCCCCTTCCCACTGCCAGGCCCCACAAGTCCTGCTCAGTTTTTGCTCCCTTATTCCTAGCCAGTTCAATAAGAAAAATGCAAAGACCTCCCTCCTTTCAGAGGCAGACCACAGGTGGGAACCCTCAGACAAAAGAGCTGCAAGTGACTTCCATCCAGAACTTCCAGCTGGCCCTCCTGCGGCAGGGGCTGGCTGAGGCACAGCACACCCCACCATACCACCAGGTGGCCTTTCAAGAGAGGAAGTGTGGCCTGGAGATGCCAAGCATTTTTAGCGGTTAAAAGCCAGTGGAGGGCTTGAGGGGGCAGGCAAACATGCCAGGGAGGGCTCAAACAGAGGCTTTGTTCCAGGCTGCCGCAGAAGCCAGCACACAGCTACCTTCCACCAATGGAAGCAGGGAAAAGAATTCTCTTCGGAGGGAAGGAAAAACCTTTAAAGTAGCTTGTAAGGTTTCCCTAGAGAGGGGATGACTAGAGAATGACCTCTGTCAATGTCTTAGTCACTTGGGGCTGTGGCCAGAGAAGGGAAAGAAGCCGCTGCAGACAGCAGGTAACTGGGATGACTCAGCCCCCAAGCCATGCTGTAGAGAAAGAAAAGCGCCAAGAGGCAGGATTACGCATGTAAGTAAGGGGACTGTCACTTGGAGGGGATGGGTGCTGGTTATGTTACTTTTTTGTATGTTTAATGATCGCATAATAAAAAATAAAAATATGTACATACACATATACTATATATGTATACATATACACAAATATGCATGCATGCACACACACAAATACATATACACATACATAGGGCTATTATGTTCATCTCCTAAGCGTGACTCAAAGTGAATGACTTAACAAACACTTCATTGCCAAAGCCCACTGCCCACTTCAAAGTTTTCCTGATGGAAGCCACAGGTTCTCTCAGTGACACAGCCAGTCCTCAGAAGAGTTCAGGAGCACCTCTTTGTGAAATGCCTTCAGAACCTGAAGTCCATTCTTTGAAATACCCAGAGTAGTGGAAAACTTTTATCTTTTGAAGATATATTGGGTTTTTTTGGCAAGAACCAAAGGTCACGCAGAAACCAGCCTGGTGAATACCTGGGATGACTTGATAGGGCCACGGTGTGGGTTAAATGGGATGGAATGACAGTGCAGCGCCCAGTGAGAAGTCTCCTGCCCTGGAATGAGCACATTGCCTCCCTGGCCCAAGAGGTCACACCCCTGGTTTCCTAGTCCTACCAAGGACACCTTTGGAAACCTTTCTCCCTGTCTGAGCAGGTTGAGCCCAGACTCCCTTCTCTGCTCTCCTGAGTGACCATCCCCTCCCACTCCTGGGAGCCCCTGCAGCTGGAGGAGTGGGCCCAAGAGGGACTGGGGTACTTACTGGGGCACGATGGTGATTTGGACAAAACAGATGAAGAGGAAGACGAGAGAGGCACAGGCCACGTAGGCACCAAAGCGGTCATCCACCTGCTTGGAGTACTGAGAGGAGACACAGGGTGAGGGGCGGAGGCCCCCAGCTCCCACACACACCCAGAGCAGCCACTTGGGGCTGGTCACCTGTGCAGCCCACTCCCAGGACAGGGAAGACCTGGGAACCAGAGCTAGACTTGGATCACGAGAGACCAGTCCAAACCCACCATAGGGCGGTGCTGTTGAGAGGGGCTGGGAAGTGTGTCAAACCAGCAACTTTCTACAGGCCAGGTCACCATCAGGGTAATTCATAATGCTCGTGGCTATCATTGCTAGGCACCATCTGCATGCCGGGAAATACACTAGGTGTCCAAGGCATCATCAGCCACTCTCACAGCTGCCCGGGAAGCTGGCACAGGACTACTGTTACCTTTGCTTCAGAGACGAGCACACCGGGGCTCAGAGAGGTTCCATGACTTGTCCAAAGTCATATCCAAGGTCCTGACTCCCAGCCCCAGATCCTCCTGTGACACCAACCAGTTGCACTAATAGGGGTCGGTGCTGGCACGGTTGGTCCCCCAGAGAGAGTGATACTAAGTCAGGTCCGTGCTGGTAAACACAATAATTTCTCTTTCCACAGTCTTATTCTGCTATTAGGTTTGCCTCACTTCATGCTGACGTGAGTTCACATGAGCCCTTTTTAACTGAACACTGGGGAGACCCTGCCACCTGGTACGAAGAGAATGCCTGGACCAGGGTGTGGCTCTGGCTCTGTCACTATTTCACTGGGTGGCCTAGAGAAAGTCACCCAACCACTCTGAGCTTTAGCTTTCTCATTCACGATTTAAGGAGATGGGACACAGAGATCTTGACTGCCCCTTCCAACTTTAATACCTGGAGGTTCCAGTGTGCCAAAAGCAGCTGGGTGGCCCATTGGTAATGATGATGATAACAGCAGTAGTAGCACAAATAACGCTGACATTTATTGAACATCTGGTATACGGCTGGGACTGTTTTATATGTTTTACACATATGAACTCATTTAATCCTCACTATGATCCTATGAGGTAAGGATGTTAAATATCCCTGTTTCCTAGACAAGGAAACTGAGGCATAGAGAGGTTGAGATTTACTCCTTCTAACTAAGGAAGTCTCCCTAGAACCCCCATCTCCCAGGGCAGCACAGCATCAGAGTTGGGGAAACTGAGGCAACAAGAAGAGGCTCCTTCCCCGGTGCTGGAGACAGAGGAGGAAGTGCTCCTATTGTCTTGTCCCCTCCCCCTGGTCCTGGTTCTGCCCGGGGCCTCCTTCCCAGCCAGGGTACTGTACCTTCTTCTCCAAGTCAGGCTCCCTAAAGGTCAAGAGGAACTTGCGGACATGCTCAGATCGCAACCTGTCGATGCTCCTGGCGTCGATGGCCCGACCCAGAAACTCATCCACTTCGTCCTCAGGGTTTGCACTTTCCTGGGCATTCCTGGGGAGCAGGAGGCACAGACATGAGCCAGGAAGGCCACAAGGGGCACCATCAGAGGGCTGACTGTGCATGTCCACCTGGACTGAGCAGAGGCCCGGCAGCCGCCCACTATCAGCCCTGATCAGGAGTGGGGGAGCTGGGATTGAGACCAGGTCAGCCAGGGGCCTGAGCCCACGCTCTTAACCACACAGACTCATGGGAAGCTGCCCGAGGCTCGCACCCACCGGCTGGAGGACCTCGCTGACAATCAGGCTTTCCTGACTGTATTAATCTATTCTATTATCTTATTATAATAACACTGTGAATTATCAGTGAAGGTTTCATTGTTCTTTCCCCTACACGTAACAGTCTCTGCTCTCTTCTCTCCAGCTGTATCCTCACCCTGAAACAAAGGCCATGATCAGAAGGTGAGACTTCTGTCACAGGGACTGTGGTCCGCCTGGTTTCCGGCTCAGCCACTCTTGGGAAGCAGGCTTCATAATCTCTGGGTGCTGGACCTAAAAACCCTATTTCTCAGGGGGAGCCCAGTCCTTGAGGGGAATTTCTGATGGTCCGAGAACTGGGAGGTGGAGGAGGAGGGCACTCCCTCCAGGCGCTGCTGACCACCGTGCAAGGTCTGCACTTTCCTAAGGGAGCCGCACGCGTGTGTGCAGAGTGCGTGCCTGGGTGTGTGGCTGTGCACGCGTGTGTGGAGTGGGGATAAAACGGGCAGTGCTGAGGCCCAGCCCTTCCACCGGGTGGCCAGGACCTGGCTGTCCTGGCCTGTCTGGGGCTGCGGCTGACCACCTGCCGGCCATCGTGGGCTCTGTTCACTCTCAGCGAAGACTGGGATCACTTCCACGGAGCATGTGGAAACTGAGCACAAGACAGATGCGGTGATATCCCGCAGACAGAGGGAGCAGGAATAAAGAAGGGCATATTACTCACTTGTCCTTGGGGTCTTCAAAGCCCTAAACAGAAGGATGGAGAGAGAAAGAGAGGAGTATGAGAAAAGAGAGAACCGAAAACACGAAGGCCGCCAGCGCTGGGGCTGTGAGAAGCTGCGCTGATTTTCTCTCTACAGTCTACCCAAGGGCTTGGACATAGAGACTGTCGCTCAGTAGTTCCCTCCTTCATCTGGCAAATGCAGCTGGGTTCCTCCTCAGGAACAGGTTCTGTGCTAGCTGCTGGGAGGCACTGGGACTCCATTTCATCCCCTCCTGTCCCTATGTTCCTTCCCATATTCCCCGAAACCTCTTCCCCCCTCCTCCTGGGCCCTGGGCTCAGAGGGTCCCGTTCCAATTCTGCCACTTGCTCAGATGAAAACAGGAAATTACTCAGCTGCTCAGCCCCCTTCCTGTGTACACACTCATGCACACTCACTCCCCCACCTGCCCCCAACACACAGAGCACACAGAAAACCTATGGGAGTTCACAAATTTTGCACTTAAAAAATTAAACTCCAGTTACCTGCAACAGCCTTTTTGCTATCAGAGAACCAGTGTATTCTTGTAAGGCCAGAGGTGGTTGGGGACGCAGCAGGTAAGGAGCTGCCTGCCATGGGTCTGACTACTGTTCTGTTCATTTCCACAGGGCAGAGGTGAGAGTGGGAGGGGTCCTTATTGACAGTCAAACTCAAAGCTCTATTTAGCATTAATCTATGAATTTCCACAAAATGAGACATGTGTGTTGGGGTCTGACCTGTTGTAGCAGAACGGAGGGTTCCCTACAATGGGAAGGGGTTGGATCCAAGGAGGATTTGGAGGAGGTGACAAGCAGCCCCAGGACTTGCAGTTTCAGATAAGGCTCAGGTTGCCAGGACAAGGACACAGGATGACCCGCCATCTCTGTGACCCAGCATGGAGCACTCTGCTGGGCCAACAGGGAGCTTGGCAAATGCTGGGTGATCCATTCCCACTGAGGACATGGTTTGAAAATACAAAAAGAGAGATTTCTGTTTTTCTCCATGAGCTGCCAGGTCCATGCAGCATCAAGGCGCTCTGTCTCTGCTCTAGCCCCAGCTGAGGGCCTCTAGGAGCCTCGGCAGCCTTCAGTGGCACATCCACGCCACCAGCCATGGGCTCTGAGCTCCTCCCAGGCTGCCCGCACTGGCCCAGGAGGGCCTGTCTGTTGTCTTCTCCTTCTCCTGTGAGAATTGCCGGGCCCTCACTCCAGCCTGCAGGACCCAGCTCACTTCACCATCCCAGCCCTGGGCTGCAGGAGTGGGTGTCACCCAATTCTAACACAGTGGACGCCATGGTGGTGTGGGGAGCTCAGCATCAGGTTGGGGTGGTGAATTGTAATGGTCACTAAATACATGGGTCCATAAGCCATGGCAGGGGGGTCACTAAGAACCCAGTCCTGCAGACTGTGTGCAAACACCCCCCCTTCCTAGTTCTAGGACAACAGTCACTTAACCTCCACCAGCCTGCTTGTCTGCTGCTGACCCCCCCACTCCGGGGGAGAGGTGTAGAGCTTTCCTGGGCATGCTCCACTGTCAACCTTTTCATTAACAGATAACCTTAAAGACCTGACAACACTCGTGCCTAAGCACAAACCAGCACAGCTCATCACTGTTTTAAAAGCTGAGTAAAATTTGAGAAAAGACTGAAAAAGAATAAACTGCTGACTAAGACTACTATCTTCTAACTGCTCTCAGCCTCTGTTTCACTGAATTCCCAGCTCAGCCTCATCTTCAGTGGACTGCTGTTAAGTCAAGGCAAAAGTTGTCTTGTTGCATTTTGGGTGAGTTTAACCCAACGCCAATGGCCTGCACAGCAGCCACTGGAGCCTGTCTGCATCCCCAGCCTGGAGACTCAGGCAGACAGGCTGTGTGGGGCCAGGAGGCTGCACCGTGATGCCAGCCCCCATGACACTGTGCCCACCCAGGTGGGAGCCTCCTGCCCACGGGCTGCTGCAGAGGCCAGAGGGCCCTGTTCCTCCACACACTTTTCCTTCCCTGCAGCCTCCTCATTCTGAAACTGTCCCTTCCCCAGTTATAGCCCTTACTGATAATTCTTCCAAGGTTCCTTGTCCTAACAGCGATTAATACATCTGCCAAGCCAGTACTTACAGTCCAAACTGCCTCCCTTAACAGCTGAAATAATAAAGGTGCCACTTACACCAAATATCACGAAAAAACAACTTTCCAAGAATTTTGAACAGACAGTGACTTACCAGCACGCCCCTTTCCTGCTTGCTGGAGGCTGCCTTCTCCTTCCTCTCCCCTCTCTTCCCCCCTCTCCAGCAGCTCCAGCACCCCCCACTCCCTCCCTCCCTTCTGTCCTGTGCTAGTCCTGCTCTCCCCTCCCCCTCCTCTGCCCCCTTCCTCCCCTCTTGACCATCCTGGTCATGCAGTACAAAGTCTGCAGGACATTAAAGGGCTGGGGTGACAACAGGAGGGGCAGCCAACTGCTTTTTGCTTTGGGAAAGGCCCCTGGGGGAGGGAGAGTGCTGGCCTGAGCCCTTGGTGTCACTGACCAGGTCTATGAACGTCCAAGTCCAGAGCCCTGGGGAAGACCAGGCCTCTCCCACAGGCCTGCTCATCACATTGGTACACCTTGAGCTGCTGCTTTACCATCAACATTTAAAATGAAGGTCTTGACTCAATTTGTATTTTTCTTCCTGTGCATTTCCTTAAAACTGTGTATTTACTACTTGTTAGCTGGCAGGGAGCAGAGTGACCAGGTCCCTGGCCTATCCCCCTTCAGGCCCTGGCTCTTGTCCAGTAACTCAAATGGATTCCCACAGAGTCTGTCTCATCCCTTCTGCTGCAAGCTAAACCTATACTCTGCTCAACAGACCCCAAACTCAGGGATTCCACTGCACATACCCAACCTTATTCACAAGGGGGTCACACACACACACACACACACGCACTCTCGTGTACGCTAACACACACGGTTCCTGCAGCGTCCCTCCTCAGCCCTCCCTCAGTGTGAGTGATCCCCACCTGGGAACCAGGTGCCCTTGGGCTAAGCAGCGTGCCCCAGAGGCAGAAACCAAGCTCTCAGACAGCAAGAGCGAGAACGCTGCTGCTGTGACTTGGCTTCTCGTCGTCCCTCTTCCTCTTCTTCCCACCTGAATCCACCTTTCTGTCATTGCTGCAAAAGCCCATGTGGTGCATCCTGAATTTGCCTGTCCCTGGTGTGTGCAGTGATGGCTGGGGGTGTCTGACCTAGGGCAGGCAGGGTCCCCTTGAGGTGGAGGTGACACTCCTGCCATGCCGCCTCCACTCATTCAGCCCTCACGCTCCTGCTGGAAGGTTGGAGTTAGCAGGGGTGCTTCTCAGCACAGAGGGCAAAGGGATCATCCTGGCACTTGTCAGAACTGGAATGGTGTCTGAGCGACTGAGCCAAAAGATGTGGCTTCAGTTGCCTGGGAATGAAGGAGGTGCTGGCAGGGGTCTGGCACACTGGTGCCCACCCAACTCCCCAAGGCCTCACCAGACAGTGCCAAGAGACTGCTGGAAGCTTTGCCGAACCCTGAGACTAGCCAGACGGGCCTGCTTCAGACTCTGCCAGCAAGCTCTGCCCAGAGGGAGGGAGGAGGGGACTCACCGCTCTTTTCCAGAGCCAAATTCCGCATGCCATGAGACAGTGGGGCTCATGGAAAGGGCCCAGGCCAGAAGTCAGGTGCTCTGGCTCCTAGTCCAAAGTTGCACCCCACTCCCATTTCCTTCTGTGGCTTTGCGGATTCCCTCAGGCAGCAGGAGGGCCCCAGCCCTGTAGAGTGCTGCCACACATCACCCTGCCAGCCACTCACCATCCGCTTCATCTCCTTGGACACCTGGTTGCCGCCCAGGTGGTTGTAGAAGGGGCGCTCAGCCCCCCAGTGTGGTGGGTTGTGCCCAATGGAGTTGGTTCTCTGGCGGTTCATCTTGGCGATCATGGCCTTCTCTTCTTTCTGGGAGAGCAACATAGATGTGTCAGCCTGTGAGCAGGGACATTGGAGGAGCCCAAGTGGGGAACTCCCCATTCTGCCTAGAAACAGGGTACCTGGCGAGGTAAGGGGCCAAGTCAGCTGTCCTCTCTTCTCTGCACAGCCCTAGAGCCCAGAAGTCTGAAGAGGTCCTAGAATCCCCAAAGCAAGCCTCCTAGATCCCTCTAAACTCCCTAAGGTCAGCCCTGGCTGGCCCAGGTGGGAGCAGAAGATACTGAGAGCTGGTTTTGTGAGAAAACAGAGGGCGTGGGAACTTGTTATTTGCGAGGAATTCTCCTTACAAGTTTGACCACAAGATTCTATCCCTGGCACCTCTCAAAACTGATGTTCAGGTCACTGCAGCTCTCTCCGGGGTCTGAGGACGTACGGAATTAGAGCGAGGAAACAGCGCGATCCTGAGAGCTGTGTGCTGTGATACCAGAGTATTGACTGCATTTCCAAGAGCAACAAAGGACGAATAAATCTTTCAACAACGATCCTACATCGACAAACAAGCGGCAGCGGGTTCGAGGTTTTGGGGCCGACACTGAAGAGGTCTCCTGAGAGCGCCCAAGCCCGGCCGCGGGAA